TGAGTAGATAATTAGGATGCTTCTTTCAGCTGGAGATAAAGTCCAGAGCCTCACTCCAGCCATTATCCTGCCAACCCTAATAGAGCCAGATTGATGGATACAGCACGGAGGGAATTTGGAACATTCTTGTGCACACTATATCACACTCAATAACCGCCCGTGCACAATGTGGGACTTTTATAAGCCATTACAAAATCCATTTTGAAACATCTCTGGGTGCCACAGCCAGCTGCAAAGCATCTGAAGTATCCCTGACATTTGGGCTTTGGTGGAGCTTGTGAGAACACAGGGACTCGAGAGCAATCACTTGCGTACACACCAGCCAAAAGAACTCCGTCGTAAGGGAAGCAGATGGTAGCCTTGCAGCCCACCGTACATCTTACGCTGTACTCCGGCAAACGCACTAATCCTTCTTGTTAGACAAGAACAGAAACCCCCCAAATGCTTTCCATATGTCCCATTGTCTTCCTGGTCCTTTAATTCTACCTCAAAAGCCCCCAACTTAGCAACCTTCATATTAATGCTAAACATATTACATCAGTTCTAACATTGATATGTTTAATATGAATACAATTAAAGTTGCTTCAACATAATCCTGGTAAGATAAACAGCACCGCTATTATTATAAACATCCCTGCAAGATCTCTTGTAAAATATTATCAATACTAATAGAAGTCCCCTCCACACACACCCCAACACCCACCCAGACTCTCGGGCTAAACAATGCCACTGCCTCCCTACTAATAACAAATATGTCCAGTGATTTAAACATCGGTGCATCCAATGTAAACACCATTATAGCTAATGTAAAACAGTCACCCGGCCCAGCAAACCTTCAACCATCGAGCTGCCGAAGAGAAAGAACAGTTTCCTCAGCAAGAATGCATTACAGCCTGCTGGTGCCATTTGCAATAGATTACTTAAGCCCATAAAGAAATGAAAATTGCAGGCTCACTCTGAGCCAGAAATGATGAAATTGGAGAGCCCAGGCTTGGTACGGCATGGCAGACCAGCTTCTGCCCAGGGTCTGCAGGCCCGGTGCGGTTGGAACGCGCCCTCCTAGAGTCTGTGTGTGCCCCACAATATCTCTGATACAGAGTGTTCCTTTGGTCCTGCTTCCAGTACATGCTTTCCACACGTGTAGGCGTGAAGCCTAAGACTGGCCTTTTCAGAGCTGATGTGCTCGCCAGACTGGGCATGTCTAAGCGCGTGCACGTGGAGAGATTTCTCTCCATAATGGCCTTGCCTGGCTAGCTCAGCAAAGAACAATACTGGGTTTTCCACCTTCCCCTGGGGAGTTTTTCCTTCTTTTTCACATTATGGAGAAGATCAGGGCTTGTGGAGGAGACCTAGATGCTTCACCAGTATTCTATTTTGTTGGTTTGATGCTTTCCTCCCTGGGACCTCTGAAACAAGCAGACAGATGCCCACACCACAGCCCTGGCCTCGTTCACAACAAGCTCTTGTTTCCCTCTTGCTACCTTCTTCCTTGATTTATTGGTTCCTAATCCCCTGTGTGCATCTCTCATTTCTGGAAACTTCTTGGGTGTGGTTCCAATATTCCATATTCACTTTTTTTTTAAGTCCATCAAGCCCACCCCTGCTAAATAACCAAGTTCACCAAGCTCTGGTTTGGGGAATCTCTGCACGGTGGTTCCCATCAGACCCAGCTGCAGAAGGTCTCCATGTGGACCAGTTGTGGCTTCCCACTGCCTCTCAGGAGTGTCCCTAGGAAATTTCCAAAGGAGGGTCATGCCCTTTGGGGCTGGGCTGTATGACATTTACTACAATGTCCCCAGAATTATACATTTCCATTGTGATTGAGAGGAAGGAAAAGAAATTTCCAAATTATTTCTCCCTTAATTTTATTAATCCAAATGAATCACCTCTCCCTTAAATAGTTTTTATGAAAAACGTGAGTGCTTTTTTCTTTTGATGACAGAACATTTTCATGCTCCAAGGAAGATGCATCTTCTTGTGGTGACTGTGAGAAAAAGCATCTGTATGTGCTCTTGAGAAATGTCTCACACAGGGGTGTTCACCTGGCATGTAGAGTTCAGTGACATTTGGGCCTTTCAGTTGTTGACATGTGGAACCAGATAATTGCTTGTGGTGGGGACTGGAAAACAAATGGAGAGAAGCTCAGATGCAAGTTCTTGTTTCCTTTGCTGAATTGCCTGCGTCTTCTTAGGAAAGGAGCTCAAGCCATCTGAGACTCGGTTTCCACACTTGTATAGTGGGACTGGTGCTAGCCATGCAGCAGGGGTTTTGGGAAACCACCTAGGTATTATATATGTAAATTTATGATGTCAATTTATGGCAGCTGTGGTTCTCATTTGGGTCCCACATCAAGCACCTCCTCCTTGAATAAGCCTGAACAGGGTGTTCTCATTTCCCCAGAGTCTGGAAAGATGGAGGGTTGGAATTCTACTCCAGCTAAACATCATATTATTAATGCCAGGCAACTCTTTCCTAATAAAACCCAAAACCATGTAAACACTGGTATAGCTTTCAATTTGTAGTCAGATTAGACGCCAGGAGCGTTTGGTTCCATTTTATTTTATTTTATTTTATTTTTTAAGTGAAATCTTTACAGTGAATTTGAAAGCAAGCTATTTTCTGCCTCTCTAGAGAAGTGTAAGTTTTGAAAAATGACTTTCCTTGGAATGTTTCAACTTCAATCAGGGCGGATGGGAGAAGAAAATAAAAAAAAAAAAATAATAAAAGCTGGTCAACTCACATGATAGAATTTCTGGACCCGGATTCAGCATCTCATTCAGGAAGTGCCCTGTGGAGTGAAATATGCACAGAAAAGAGCCCCTGAGTCATTCTAAAAGCTATTTTATGTCCTTGGAAAAGCAGGTGTTTATACTCATATTCCCCGAGTGTTCTGAGTTAAGAATTGCATACTGCAATTGCTGTCCCCCAAAATCACCCCAGGAAAGAAGTCCTCCTATTGGGGAGGGAGACATTGATTCTTCACTGCCACCTTCACCTCTGTGAAGTACAGACTTTACATCATTCCTGCTTCTTCTGTTACCAATAGTAAAGAACTCCTACTCCATGCCCACAGAGAATCCCCTATGGAACCATAGGGATCCAGGGATGGATGGTCAATTTCCTACCCCTCCCTGCCTGGCAGGGAGGACAGACCTGGAGGAAAGCTGAGCCTGTGCTTCCTCTTTCCTGTGACAAGGAATTAGGTCTCAGAGGGCTGCTTGGAGTAGCAAAATAGTTCTCATTCCTGAACCTTTAGGGACAACTGAGTTCTGAGCTTCATCCAGAGACCAAGGTACAGAGAAATTCCTGTCACACCCTGAAGCCTGACACCAAACTGTGTACATCCAGTAGCATGTTAGTAAGTGGTGGAGGATCTGGAAAAAAGATAGCTGATGCATGGGCTCGGTGATTCACTGCCATTGTCACTGCCTAGGGACTGGCAAGCTATCTCTGCCCAGAGCTGGTCTCCTGAGAAGCCATGAAATGCCTAGCAGGGCCTCTCCATGAGCTCACTGCCTGTCCATGTTCAGGCACACCAGCATCCCCTCCACAGGCACCTTGGAGTGAGGTTCTGGATTTGGACAAACTCAGACCACTTTGTCTGGTCACTTTGTCTGGTCATTTCCACTGGCCCTGGTCTAGGACTGCCATTCCTCTAACTCCAATGGCAGGTGACTCTGTTGTGGCACAGACAAGGCTGGACACCGAGGAATTAGCTGGAATCAGGTTTTTTGGCTGCAGCCAAGTTCAGAAGGGGGGCTTTCTCCACAGTCCATCCATCCCTCTGAACCCCGAGTTCAGAAAGTTTCTGAACTTTGTATCCAGTGTGTAGGGGGAGAGGCTCAGAGGCTCACAGTCTGTACAAGTCCACACAAAAGCAGCTTTTTTCCCTGTTCTGGCCATAGGACCCAGGCCTGGATACAAAAATGCAAACGCCTCTGTATCACATCCTGCCTCTGCAACACACCTCCCTCCAAAAACTCTGCTGCAGGAATTCTTGCTGAGAGTCTAAGAACAGTGGTGGTGAGGGTCTCTGGAGGAGCTTAATTGAGATTTTCTGTGGAGGAGAGGGTGTCACTACGACTCCATCTTTTTCTTCGCCTCCTCATGGGGCAGCTGGCAGGTTCACCAGGTTCCTGGGAATCTCCCCTTAGCTTAGCAGCCCCTCAGGCACCTCATCCACCGCCTCCATTGCAGAGCCTTCCCTGATCCCAGAGGACGGTTCTTCTTTCCATTTCCTGTTATACTGAGCATCTTCCTTACAACATGTGACAGGCGGTCACAGACAAGCAACTGGAGGATGCTGTTCATGCACGATAACCTCAATTTTACACAATTGCTAGGTTCACATAATGACCTGTATTTTTTTTGCAAGTGTAAGACTCCTGCCACTGTTCTCTTCAGAGCACTAATCAGGAAGGATTCACTGCCCACCCTCTCTGCCTTCAGGGGCCGACAGACACATGGAGATGTGCAAAGAGAGCACCATGTCACCAATACCCACCATCTTGCCAGTCCCAGAAGTGGAACCCATGGGGCAAGGGAAAAGCAGAGGTCATTTAAAGCTGGTCCTGAAAGAACATCCAGGGACATTGTCTGAAGGGACTTAGTGGTTCCACTTGAACTTAAGTCCAACCAAGGTCACCAATCGGCTTTTGCAAAATGGAATTTTGTAGGGACATCACTCTGCCGCCTTTGCTTGCCCTCAGCACCAAGCCCCTGAGCACATTTGCTGGAAAGGACATATCTTTTTATATCAATTATTGAGCATGTGGATGGAGAATAGACTTATTAGAACTAGGATGTCATAGAAAGATTTTTTACGAGGAAGGTTGAGTTCACACCGTGGAATGAAAATGGAAAACGGTTTGCTTAGAACAAACACCTGTATAGCAACTGGTATATGCCAAGAGCTTTCCCAGGTGCTTTACAAATATTGGCTCATTTCTTCCTCTCCAAAGACAAAATCACAACAAATTTTAAGATCTTAATTGGCTTTATTTGTGATTCTACAATCAAGTAACACTCCAATCCACAAAACAGAATAAATATTCCAGTGAGCTAAGTACAAGAGGGTTGGTTTTATAGAGAAGGGCTAAAACAACAAGAAAGAAAGTACAAACAGCAGATCAGCTATTTTAAAGATACTTTCCTTGTAAGGTTGGGACAGGGAGAGGACAATAGAAAAATCACTGATTGGTGAACATCAGTTTACTTCTTTGCAAAGATGAAGGCAGAAACTGGCTAGTTGGGAAACTCGGCTCTTATCGCTCCTGATTTCTCTGAAGGCCAGAACACAACTTAGTTTCATCTTGGTGACATGGAACTTTTAATATGAGTGACTCCATTTTGATTTGGAGTCTGGTCTCTTGGGGTCCAACGCAGGGGTTTGGTACAAAACAATGGTCTCCTGTAATTTTTATTTAATTATCTTCAAAACATCCCTATGAGATCTGTCCCATAATTATCATCATCTTAGAGATGAGGAAACAGGCAGGGAGCATCTGAGCTACCCCCTCAGGTCAGACATAGCAAGATCAGGATTTGGACCCAGGAAAGCTGCCCCAGCAATCATGCATTTAATCACTATACTATAGTAGACACATGCATAATTTTTAAAAATGGGGTTCAATTACTGTTTTCTGAATTCCTCCTTAGTAAGGGCTTGGTAAAAAGCCTTAATCAGGTAAGGCTAGGTGTTTAGAAGTTATACAGGTGTGCAGGTTTTCATCTTGGTTGTGTGGAGTTGGTTGACCCTTTTCTGTGGGCTCATAGTTCCTATTACCTGCAGACTATACCTCCTTTATGTTAGGATCTTCATTACTAACTTTTGAAAACTAATACCTCTGCTCACAATTTACTCTAAAAACTAGATCAGGTGTGAATAGCATTTGTCTTAGTCCATTTGAGTTTTTTGGTTTTGGGTACTGGGGATTGAACCTGGGGTACTTAACCCCTGAGCTACATCCCTAACCCTTTTTGTTTTTTATTTCAACACAGGGTCTCGGTAAGTTGCTTAGGGCTTCACTAAGTTGCTGAGACTGACTTTGAGCCTGCAATCCCCCAGCCTTAGCCTCCTGGGTTGCTGGGATTACAGGTGTGCACCACAGCACCTGGCAGTGCCTTTGGGTTTCTATAGCCAAAAAACCATATACAAGGTGGATTATGAGCAACAGAAACTTATTTCTAGCAGATCTGAAGGCTGGGAAGTCCAAGATTAAGACACCAGCAGATTTGGTGTCTGTTGAGAGCCCCCTTTCCCATTCATAGGTGGCACCTCCTTGCCGCGTCCTCACATGGCTGAAGAGGCAGGGAATCTCTCTGGGGTCTCATAAGGGCACACATGCCATTCTGAGGGGTCCACCCTTGTGGCCTAATCCCTTCCCAGAGGTGTCCCCTCTCCATACCATCACACTGGGGATTAGGATTTCAACATATGAATTTCAAGGGCAGTGAACATTCTGCCTGTTGCTGTCTTTGCGAAGCCTGTTTCCTCCAAGTCCTCAGGGAGAGTGTCTCCTGCAGGCGAGGCTCTCATACAGAATGGCTTTTTTCCTTGTGCTGTCATAACTTTGGAATTTTACGATTTTCTCCAGTCGTGACACTCTGTGTTCTCTGGCCGGCTGCCTCAGCCTTACACGTGCTGTGGGTGTGGTGGGTGAGGTGGCTCTTGCCTTCGTGCGGCCACCTCCTCTGGGTCTGCAGCCAGACATCTGCAGTGAGCCTGGACCACGGCATTGCAGAATATGAGGTGGGTGCTGAGCCAAGGACAGAGAGCAGAGCGGGGAACTGGGGCACCTCTCTCTGTGTCTGTCAGCCATCATATATGATCCAGCCTGACTTCTGAATATGACAGCTTCTGCTTCACCTTGGCCTGCCACAGCCCCTGCAAGTTCCTCTTTTGGTGGCATTTTTTTCTGGAACCATACATATAGTGAAGGAGATTCTGGGAAATCTAGTTCCAGCTTACCTAAGCTGACAAAGCAGAATAAAACACATCATTGTGCTTCTTGAAGGTTTTTCTGTCGGTAAATAATCAGAGGGCTACTTACTGAGCATGACGTGGGAGCAAGGGTGGTTGGTTGGGTGATTTTAAGGTATCTTCTTCAGCTAAGATTCTTGATGTTTGACAGATGCATCCCGCCACCCCCACCCCTCATGTGGCTAGCTCTGGGAGTGGGACCATTGGCTAGAATACTCTTTTCCCTGAACAATGTTGGAATGAGCACAGGAATGCCTGCTTCCCCTCCTGAGAGTTAGTGAGAAAACTAGCTTGGTTCTCTGAGTTCTGAACAGATATTTTACGGAGTGACCCATATGTGCATTTTTCTTTGAAGGTATATGCCAGCTCTCATGCCAGGTCATGAGCTCTGATTTCAATTAAGTAGAATAAAGAAACACTTGCCAAACGGATAATAGCTCAGTGTTACAGTTATGCATATAATATTCACAAAGCTGACCTCTTCTGTATTCTCACTGCTTCTGTGAGAGGTGTAGAAGTGGCAGCTTCAGTCTTCCTGTTGGGTGGGAATAAACCCCTGTAGATCTTGAAGCCAGGTGCCATTGTGCAGAACATGCTAAGAGACTGCTGGCATAATACTAGAGACCTCAGTCAATTAGAGTGGCTTCAAGGATGTCCCTTGGTGGGCTCAGTGTGTGCCTTCCCTGTGAGGCTTGTGTTGATTTTCACTGGTGTAGAAATGATATGACTAAAGTCCCTTTGTCTGATGCCAGATGGCACCTTGCCCCTGCCCCCTGCTCCTATAGCACAGGCCTGAACTACAGGTGGAGAGAGTTCTACACTGGACTCTGCTCTCCTGTTGATTATTATCCTAGACAGGATGTTTAAATTATTCAAATACGAGTGCTTTTGTAAACCAAAAGTCACTGGAAGGCTTATGATCCTGGAATACCTTGAAAAGTTATGGAACCAATCTGAGTCTCCCCTCCTAAGGGTATATATAGAAAGAGCTTCTTAGTGAGGCCTGTTCATGGAGAGTGGTCAGGAAGAACAAAATTCTTCTCTGTTTCCCTCCTCTAGAATCTGCTTAGCAAATAAAACCGTTCTTTATCTATAGTGCTTTGCCCACTTAGCACAAGGTGTGGGGGGACACTGCATCTGGATGACCACAAAACCCCCAGGAAGGTGATTTGGACTTTCCAAGGCTTCATGTCTCACTTGAAAGTGTAAATGACAACATTGAGTACCTCCGAAGGAACTCCTGAGTTTTAAATTAGACTATGCTGGACACTAAGTAGGTATTCAATAAAATGAGGAACCTGAGAAGCAACCTCATCTCCTTGCATGGGCAAAGGGGCTCTCCAACTAACACAGAATGACTTCCTGAGCTGAGCACTAAAACTGGGCACACACTGACCAGCAGTGCCTGCTGCCTTGACTAGATGGCATGGGCAGCTTAGGCGCCCATGAGAACAAGCATCATGTGCCTGTGGCTTGCTTGCCGTGCTTTCTCATCGGGGTCTTCATTTAAATGGAGACGGTAAGAGCTTTGGGAAGATGATGGGAAGTGAGCTCCTTGGAGGATTCATTCATACCACCTTTTGAGACAGGTCCACCTGGCCCAAGGCAGAAAGCCTGGCTCACTGGGCAGGAGGGCTGAGACATGGCACCTCCAAAGAGCTAGGCTTGCATTGGTTGGATGCTTTGGGTGGGGTAGCAATGAGTGTGCAGTGACTTCCGACTCCAGTTCTGTGCAGTGTGACTTCAAACCTTCCTGTGTCTCACTTTCCCTATTAGGTGGGGCTACAGTGACAACCAATTGAGACAGAGCACTCAATCATGGCCCTTCTCCTTCTCCATCGTCACCGGTTTGGCTTCTAAATTTTCTGAGGAGCTTGTCTTTATCTTCCAGAACCATGGCTCTCCTCCCCTGTTCCTCTGCTCACTTTTTTCTAACTGCCTCTCACTTATCTTGATATCCATGCCTGGCCTGTCTGGGGACCTCGCCTCCATCAATGGTGGCCTCCTTCCTCTCCCCTCCCCTCGCCTCCCCCTCCTCTCCTCTCCTCTTTTCTCCTCTCTCTTCTCTCTTTTCTTGTGACCCTCCCTCAACATCATACCATCCTTCCCTCTCCCTGTCTTCTTTTTGGTCTCTCTTTCCACCCCTCCTCCTCCTTCTCTAGCTCTCCTTTTCTCTGCCTCCATGTGACTCTGCACATTTTGACAGAGGTGCTCTGCACAGACACTCTCCCTCCATGCTGGCCCCAGTGGGACACCAGGCCTGTTGCCAGGAGGAGAGTCAATAATGAAGACAGTGGGGGGGGAAGCCAGGCTGAGCGGCTGCTGACCCTCTAGAGAGCAGCAGAATCACCTTGGGAATTCCATGACTTTGAATTCTTCCGTGTGCCCATTTTTATCAGAGCATGACCTGCCTATTGGGGAGGATGACTTCTGTCTCTGGCACTCAATTAATTGACACACAAACAAAAATAAAATACTAACCCTAAAACCAAAAACAAAGACAGAGCTTCAACATCTTCATCCCTCAGGCTAGGAAAAAATGATCCTCGCATTTTGGCTTCTCTCTCTCTCTCTCTTTCCTGCCCCCTGGGTTTAGCTGATGTTTTCTTGGAAGAGGGAATGGCCCTTTGTTGAATATGAGCCAGGAGACAGGTCATTTGGGAAAGCTGGTGACCAGGACTATTGCTTCCATGTCTACTTCTCTTTGTGCAGTACTTGTTATAGAGACATCGCAAATATTGATTGCAATTCACCTAAACCTGTGTGTGTAGATCCAGAGATAAGAGAGGTCTCCCTGCTGCCTCTCTGGCAAGGTGAGTCGGTGTTGTAAGGATTAAAAGTGATGACAGATGATGAAAGTTTGGCATGTTACCTGGCACAGAGGAGAGCTTCAGAGATGCTGGTTTCCTTTCCCTTAAATCGTAGAAATAATGAGGAATCACAACCCAGGAGCTCACGGCATCTTCAAGGTGGGATGGGCCTCTCCACGCAGAAGCCACGTCTCGTGTCAAGTCGTCAGTGACTTGACTTGCCAAAACCTCACTTTCTTGTCATCTGAAAGGCAGCATAATGCAATGGAAATATTAGAGAGTCAGAAATGCAAGGGGGGAGATCTGCACATGATGCTGGTGAAGTCATTTTTCTGTGTCTCAGTTTTTTTTTTCTTCAATACCATGGGGATGTCAATGAGGTAAGCCAACTGCTGAGTACCACATTTGGTCTGTCATATGTTACTAATTTTTTGGCCTTCCTGATCATGCTGTGGTGGGTATGGATGATTTTTGCTCAGATCACTTAAAAATGTGGCTTGGCTGTCTGTATAGGTGACCACTTACAGGAAGTCTGCATTGGGAAATGAGCATGGGACATCATTGGATTCCCCGACTAACACAAGTTATCTTTACTGCGGGGGGGTGGGGTGGGGGGGTGGGGTACTGGGAATTGAACCCAGGAGCATTCTACCTCTGAGCTACCTTCCCAGTCCTTTTCATTTTTAATTTTTTGAGTTGCCCAGACTGGCTTTGTACTGACCATCTTCCTGCCTTGGCCTCCTGAGTATCTGGGATTACAGGAGTATGCCACTGTACCCAGAAACAAGTTACCTTTGAACTCTTTGGTGGAGATCCCTTTGCTAGATTCAAATCTGTTCATCTCAGAATGTAATATTCCAAGCAAAGTTGCATCCATCATTCCCTTTTTCCTTCGTGAAGCAGCTGGGGTGGGCTGGGAAAATCACTAGTGTCCGTATGGCCATCAGGATTCCAAGGCAAGCTGCTGCGTCCTGCAATATAATCAGCAGGCAGTAGAAAAACCACAGCCGTAGATCAAACAAAAAAACAGCCACAGACAATGTGATCATTCTATTCCAAAATTTCCTTTGGTATTCCTTTTCACTTGTAGACTTATTTGGCACCTATGCATGTGTATAGGACATAGCAGCTGCCTTAGGTTTAGGAAAGAAAAGGTCTTAGGGAAATGCAGCTTTGAGAACATTCTACCCACTGACTTTATTTCTTCTGTAGTTGGAGGGGAAAAAATGTCAGGGATTTAGCCACAGCACCTGAATATCTTGATTCTCTTGATGAAATACTAGTTCTTTGGAAAAATAAATACAAGTTGACCATGGTGGGAAAATTTGCACCACGGAAATGGGCAAACACTACATGATGATGATGACTTTTTTTTTTTTCCTTGAGAGCCACCAGTTGATAGTTAATTCATGTGTCATTTCAATTTTAGTTTTGTAGTTGTTCTTAGATTCTAGGAATTCAGTTTTTCATCAAATGGATTTTGAAGAGCCAAATTTGAAAAGGTACAGGAAAGTTATAAGAGAGAGGACGCTATTCTCAGATGTGGCCTGGTAGAGAGGAACAAGCACAGACTTGGGGATGAGACAGATCTTGTTTCAAATATTGGTTCCACAAAGCTGTTATCCTTGGTATCTGAGTCAAGTTACCGAACTTCTCCAAATCTCAGTTTCTTTAACTGGAAGTGAGAAAATCAGACCTACCTCAAAGGATTGTTGGGCAGATAAAATACTATAGTGATATAAATGACACATAAGGTATAAACCCAACAAATATAAGTTATGATAAGTATAAATCCCTGAGGTGGTCGACAATACACTCCAGCTAAATAAATGGATCTATCATGTTTTACCACACCCCAAAAGTAGGTTATCCCTACTTTATATTTGGGCTGCATTTTGTAATATTAAGAGAAGCAGAGATTAATGCAGCTAGTAAGAATAAGACATCTAATTCCTACTCTCTTGCTCTAAATTCTCAGGGATGTTTATATACTAAGAATCAAGGTGCAGGCTTACTTACATCAAGACCCTGGACACTCTTTGAATAATTTTTTCTGTATTTCACAAGCAGATGTTTATTCAACGAGTATTTATTGAGCTGCTACCTTGCTGTTTCTCACTATGATCCTTTTCATTCCCATAGTTCGTAAGAGTTTGCGGAGCAAATGGACACCGTGATTTTATGAAAACTTCAAACAGTGAAGGGAATTAGATATTGTAATTCACATTTTAGAAATGAGGAAACTGGGGCTCAGAGAAGAGAAGCCACTTTTCCAAGGCAGCCCAGCTGGTAAAAGGGCTGTGGTAGCAATCATTCCTCTGCATTTAATAACAAGTGCGCCTGTTTATCTTGTAAAAGAAAAGTCACTTGATTGGCTAGCCCAACTGTGTTAATTAATTTATAATGGGGCTCAACATCCACACAGTATAGTTTCTGTTCACAAAGGGACTTCACAATATGATTGTCTCTGTATTATCTGAATTTTTTTCAGTGGGGACCAAACCCAGGTCTTTGTGCATGTTAGGCAGGAACACTACACTGAGTCACGCCCCCATTCTCTTATTTTATCTTAATTGAACCTCACAAGGACCTATAAAGAAGGAAACACATTGCTAAGAAGTAAGAAAAGACACTAATTGAACATATTATGATGTGTACCTAGCCTCCATCCTATAAACTAAACTTGATTTTGAGGAGCAAAGTGGATTTTGAGGCAAAGCTCATGTGATGATGTTTCAGTGGGACACAGAAGGAAAAAAAAAGAGAGAAAACAGGGAAATGAGACTGAGGAAGAGGAAAAGCAAATATGAGATGGCCTTTTACTTGCTGTCCATAGTTTCTCAAGAAAGTAAAAAATAAGCTGCCTGATCACGTGGGAAATCTCAGAAAGACTTAAGGAACCACTGTGACTTGGTTCATTTTCTTCCCTCTTATGAATGATGGACAAAATCCATCTCAAGGGCATTCTCCAAATTTCAGGTTGAGTTATTCAGCTCCTCTCCAGGCAGCCACTGGGGAAGGTCAGAGACTTCTCAGGTGGCTTAGCTGGTCCTGGACACTGGCAGCCTTAGCAGCTCTTACTAAGCAGGCACAAGATCGGTCTGGCCCTTGCTGTAGAGTGCACACCTCAACGGTTGGCAATGGTGGCAGCCAGAGCACCTTTGTGACCACGAATAGGGTGTGAGCCTTAGCTGGACATGAGCATGGATGAGCAGATCTGGGATGAGCCATAGAACAGGTTGAAAACACCCAAACTGTCTCATTCCATCTGTACCCTACTCCTGAGCGACAGACATCCCTCTTCTCATTTTTTTCACAAGGGATTCAAGGCAGGTGAAAGTTGAGAAGGGGATGAAGTTCTTACGTGTCTGCTGACTCTGTGCTCTTTTCATCTCAATTTAGTAAAGTTATTGGTTATATCTTATTACTTTTATTATTTTTTTTTACAAAAAGGAAATATGGGAATTGAGCAAATTTATTTAATTCATATGCCAAACAATCAAAAAATAAGGTAACTCCATCACAAAAGCTGGTCTAAGCAGAGAGAGAATCTGAGATTCCAGCTTTCTCCTGAGTCTCTGTGGGACTCAGGGCCCAGGTGTGGCCTTGGCTGAAGGGGCCCTGTGTGCCTTCACCATCAGCACTGTGGACCTGGGCTGCTCCTGGGGTTGTCCTCATTCTTCGCCCTTCCTGAGTTGAGCCTGTCCTCGCTCCCTCTCTGGAATGTCAAGGTCCTCCCCCTGGGATCCTGCCTGCCACACACCTCTCAGATTCCAGAATTATCACTGAAGAATACAAATTATACTTTTAAAGAAAAAATCTTCCCACTTTTCCAAAAATACAGTTGAAGCCATCGAGCCTGGCGTTCAAGGCCCTCCCTGATAGAGCTCCTGCTTACCCTTCTCATTTCAGAATCTTTCCACTCTGCACTTACACTTGAATGCAGAGGCAGAAAACCTCGCATACTTTCATGCCTCTGTGCCTCTTTTCATGATGTTTCTTCAGGTTGAAATACCTTTTGCCTTTGTCCTTTGAAAAAGTCTGTTGATTCACCAAATCCTTCCTCAAAGGCTTCCTGTTCTGTAAAGCCATCTCTAGCTCCCCTGCTCAATCCAAACAAAAGGTTCAGATATTTGTACTTTCCTAGGGCTTTATTAATACCCCTCTTGGCATCAACGGTCACATAATTTCACCTACGTGTTTGTTCACTGTAGGTGTCCTTTTCCAACTCTACTCCGTGCAGGGACGACGATTTATTCCACTCAGTGCCTGTGGCATTTAGGACAGAACCTGGGTCCATCAGGCCTCACTACCTGTTGCTGTGATTTAAGTCTCTAGATTCCTCCTTGAGTGGTCAAGACAGAACTTCAAAATGAAAAGCAGATGCCCATGAATGGCCACTGCCTTGCATTTTGGATTCTGGGACTCAGCACACATCTGAAAAATAGACCTCCGAAATGGTGACTCCAGTATCCGCCTATCATTTGATATATTTTTCACCCCACAGACCCTAGATCCACTGTAGATATAATAATTTTGTATATCAGGTGGTCACTTTTCAACCCTGAAACGACATAGAAGTTTTCTCAAATATTTGACTTAATTTGTAAAGGGAAAAAGTTCATGAGGTCAGGCCAAAACCACAACACAACAAAAAACTACTCAGGAGAATAAACTGAACAATCTCAAAACTTATACAAGATTGAAAGACATTTTGCTTCTATCAGTCACAATGGAGAGACCTTGTTGAACACCTAGGGATTCAATAGAGACCCCAGAAAAGTCGTTTCTTAGCAGCAGGCACAGTGGACAGGAATGAAGCAATAGAAATAAGCCACTGTGCGTTTATTACATTAAACATGATATAAAATGATATTTTTTCAAATATACACTGTAACTTATTAAGGTAAAGAGTTATATTCTAGGGACTGGGTATGTGGTTCAGTGATAAAATACTTACCTAGCATGAGTAAAGTCCTGGCTCCTATTATCAAAACTACAAAAACAAGAAACCAACTAACCACCACCACCAAAAACAACAACAACAAAAAACTATATTTTAGAACAACTATATTAAAGTTTAAGCAAGTGGAACAGATAAAATGTTAACACTAAAGAATACTAAATTACCCACTTTCCACCCCCCCCCCAAAAAAAAAGGCAGAAAAAAGAGAAATAAGGGACAGAAATCAGGACACATAAAAACAAATAACAAGATGATGTATATAAACCCAAGAATATTGATAATTGAATTAGATATACATGGTAAAAACACTTTAACTAAACAAAAAATAAGGTTGCATGGCATAAAAGAGCAAGATGCTATAATATACTATCTTCAAGAAACACATTTTAAATATTAGTATACATAAATTTAAAAAGTAAGAGGATAGGAATAAAGTACCATGCAAACTCTTTAGTATGGAAGGTCATGTTAACTATTTAGTAAAAAGAATATTACCCACAATTAAAAATGTTTCATAGTGATAAAATTGTAAAGTTATCAGGAAAATCTAGCATTTGCAAATGTATATGCACCTAATTATAAAACTACATGAAGGGAAAAAAGTCACATAATTGGAAAAAGGAACTAGATAAACCCATAGTTTTGACTGTAGCATGAACACTTCTACATAATTGGTAAGCTCTATGGAAATAAATTATTTACATTATAAACACTGAATGACACTGTTAATCAGCTTTATATAGTTGAAACTCAAAATATCATGCCCAACAAAGAAAGAATGCTCATTTCTTTAAAGTACAAATGGTATATTCACTAATATAGATGGTACTTTGTGCCATAAAATCAGTCTTAATAAATAAAAAGGGACTTCAGTCCAACAGAGTATTTTTATTACTTTAATAAAATTAAATTAGCAACCAGTAATAGGATTACATATCTAGGAAGTTCTCCAATTGTCAAAAAGTAAACAACAGGGCAGGGGATTAGCAAGGATGGTGGAATGTG